CGGGGGGTGGGGAGGGCAGAGGGTGTTATTGGAAATCTGGGTGCACATCAGATCTTCATTTTGAATGAATGAAAACCAGGCTGTTGTAACCGGTGGACTTAAAGGAGTCTCGGGTGGGTGGCGGCTGTGTGATGGGGGCCCTGGGAGGCCCTCACCCGACTCTGTGCAAGCGCCTTCTGGAGCCTGCCCTGCAGGAGATGGGCGGCTTTGTGCCCTCTCCTCCTGCCAGGAGGAGTCTGCGGTCCCAGGGCACCTTGGGCGGGGAGGCCAGGCTGGTGGCGGGCTCCCGGGGAACTGAAGGGCCAGGCCTCATAAGCCAGGCAGGCGGGGACGCCATGGGCAGAGGTGAGGGGAGTTTGTCAGTGGAGCGAACCATTCACGGGAGGATTACCTCCTCTGTGGGAGAGAGCGGTGGGGTCAGGCCGTGGCTACCAGCCAGAGGAAACCTCAGTGCCAAGCCAGGCCAGGCAGCCAGGCCCTCTCCGGCAGAGAAGCCAAGCAAAAGAGCCACTGCTCCCCCTCCCCCCTCCCCGTGTTTCACAAGCACATTCAAGCGTCAGGAAGCCTTTGGGGAAGATTATATTTACAACCACAGGACAACCCGACCACATTTTCCCTGAACAAGACCTCTTCCCAAGGCAGTCACGATTCAGATCCAACATTCAAAGATGAGAAAGAACAAGGTCTCCTCTCGGCACGCCCCTTGGTTGCAACAGCTGCGAGCGAGCTCCAGATGCACACGGAGTGCCTGACCTGGCCCTGCCTCCAAGAACCGTCCTGAGCGCTCCCAAAGTAAAGTGTCCACGGACCTGAGCAGGTATGGGACGTCCTTCTTGGGGGGCGCACATGGGAAGCTGCGGCTCACTGGCTCACAGTGGGGGCCAGGCACCTCTGTGTGTGTGGAGGCCAAGCCGCCCTGGCTCTAAGGCCTGGACACCTGTGGTGGAGAGCTAGCCACTCCCACAAGCCCCCTGACTACCAAGAAGGCTGGGCAGGGCTGTGAGGCAGGAGGCCGACCGACAGCGCCCTGGCAGGAAGGGAACCAGCGAGGCTGCCGTGGGGCTCAGGATGGCACTTGCTGGGGCCCAGGGACTGGCTCTCATTGCACACCTACACTCAGCAGCCCTCTGCCAACCAGCGCCTGGCCTTCTGGGGCACCGAGTGCCTAGGAGACTTGGCCACCCCTCTCCAGTCGCATGCACTGTAGACCTACCACTCCAGCCAACTCAGGAAGGAGAGGACGGGCTCTCTCTGGGTCACTACAGGAGCCTGGCCTGTGCCCAACTCTGCAACTTCCTCCACAGTGCAGAAAAAAGGAGAAGAGAAGGCCAGCCAGTGGTCTGGGGTCCCGGCCCATCTGCAGCTGAAACGCCCCCTCCTTACAGGAATGGTTTCTGGTTTGCATGCACCAGTTGGTTCCCGTCGCAGAAGCCATGAACTTCCAAGACAATCTCCAGCCTGGAGACTGCAGCCAAGCAGAGTTTCTTACCCGGCCAAGCCACCACATCCTCAACATGGCCCATCTGCCCAGAGGCATCTATGCTGAGCCCTGGGAGGAACTTTGCAATGGCTGGGTGGAGGTGCAAGGTCCCCCGGGACGCTGGGCTGAGAAGAGGACAACTGTCTTCTCTGAACCAAAGGGTCAGGATGACCGCTCAGCACCTGCCCCACTGCCCAGGAGACACCCACGCTCAGACCCACCCACTGCTCGATTCACCCAGAACAGGACCCTTCCTCTGTGTTCCCTGTGTGGGCGACGGCGTGAAGGGAGAGGAAGGACAGGGGTCACTGAGAGCAATGTCCCCTCTCAGCATCACCCTGCTAAGATGCCCCCAAACCAGATGCCACAAGTGGACCGAGTCCATTTGGCGAAGTCCAGTCAGCCCACGAGTCCTCCCAAGATCAAGCCCACTGCCTTGGCTCTCTTTGGACGCTTGTGAGGAGGGGGCTGTAGGTGCCCGATGGGCCTGAGTGGGGAGGACAAGGGCAGCGCCGCATGCTGGAAAGTCTTCCATCAGCACCCTGCGGGTGCCCTCGGCCCTGTGGGGGAGGGGCAGGAGACGCGTCTGGATCAGAGGTGGTGTCAGCAGCTCTGAGCATGTCTTCACAAATGCCATCCTGGGTCTTTTCTTCTTCTTCTTAAAAAAAGGCAGTTCCGAAGATGGACATCGTAACAGGGACGTGAATAAATACCAGCACTTATGGTTCTTATAAATTTATGTTTTGAAGACAGCATGGCACTCAAGAGGAATTGGGCGGTTAAGGTCGGTGGAACCTAGAACACAAGGAAATCAAACCAGGGGTGATCAGACAGGTAGGGGTGACCGTCTCGCCCAGCCTTGCTCAACCCTCAGCTTGCTCCTCGGGGCCACGGTCAGGGCCACGGCCCCATGAGAACTCCCACGAGCACTGGACCACCACTGAGCTCACCAGGAGCGCCCCTGGTCTGTCCCTCAGCCCTGCTGTCAGCCTGGACTAAACACTATAAACCCCAAGTTCTTGCCCACGAGACCCTTCTGCCCCAGTGGCCCTCAAGGACAGAGAACTGCCCCCACGGAGCTTCCAAGGCTGTCATCTTTGGAAGCGGATTGCCACATTTTTTGGGGGGAGCTGTTGGTGCACTTGAACCACCAAACTTTTGGTTCACAGCTGAGTACTCACCCGCCGCACCACCAAAACCCCATGGTCAGAATGGACACTGACTCACGGTGGCCCTTCGTAGGCACTCTGAGTATGTACCTCTTTATGGGAGCAGACAGCCTGGTCTTTTCCCCATGGAGCGGCTAATGGGTTTCGGAGTCACCAACCCTGTCGAAACTCAGAGCATCACCAGGGCTCCTTAAATGATATCTATCTGTCACTGCTGGGTGGTGGGTTTGAACTGGCAACCTTTTAGGGTAATCATCCAGTGCAAACGGTTAGGCTAAGTGAGTTTACAGAAGCTCTTAAATCTCCCCACGGCTCAGTTTCGCCCAATATGAGAGCCTGGCACAGACCCGGGGAACCCGTTTTGGAAGGGCTAACGGGAGGTGGGCCCTCAGCCAGTGGCCTCTGATGGCAGCGAGCTGTACGCTTTATGCTGGCAGCAATCTTTTCTTTCCTGTGGACACTTTCGTCAAAGCCCACGGGGGGTGGGGAGGGCAGAGGGTGTTATTGGAAATCTGGGTGCACATCAGATCTTCATTTTGAATGAATGAAAACCAGGCTGTTGTAACCGGTGGACTTAAAGCCCCTTTCCCTGAGTAGAGGCTTCATCTCCAAACCCTGTAGCAGACCTTCATGGCAGCCCTTCTCAGTCTCCTCCCCAGTGCACACACCAAACCTATCACGGCCCAGAGGACACACCAACCCCAAACTTGGGGCCACTGAGCCCATGGTGACTCACAGCAGCCATTCAGGACAAGTGGAACTGCCCCTGTGAGTGTCCGAGACTGTAACTCCTGACTTGAGCAGAAAGCTTCCTCCTCCTCATGGGTCTGTTGGTCAACAGCCTTTTGGTCAACAGCCCGGCGTTGAACCCACTGTGCTACCACCGCACGTCAACGCTGTGTCTGGGGAAGCCGAAAAGCAAATGCGATACTAACCTTGTTAAATGTCTACTCAATTCATGGACTTCCATTTCAGTGCTTTTAAATTCATTGAGCTCCTTCCGAATGGCAGCCTGGAACGAGACGCACCCATAAACACGCAGCAGAAGGCAAGGCGGTGGAAAGGAAGGCGCTTTTAGTTTTAGCAATATAGTTCCTCCAGAAGATGCAGCAGCCGCACCCACCCCAGGGAACAAGGGGCTATGTTCTAAATAATCGCCAACATTCTGAAAGCATCCTGAAAAACCTCACAGCACAGCCCCCTGATGGGGCTGAGGCTGAGGAAGGAGGAGGCTGGGTGGTCCGACAGTAACAGGGGTGCTGAGTGTGCTAGAAGTAGGAGACTCGAGTGGAGAGAGGGTTGGGAGGGGGCATCCTCACTTTGCCCCAGGGCCTGCCACTTCCAGCGGGGGCCCTTCAGCCCAGCTCTCTGGCCGATGCTTGCTTTGAAGGTGTGGAGGAGGAGAAATCTTCCGGTCGGATCAGAGCGGCCACCTGAGTTTCCTCAGGCTGCTGTACCACGGCAGTGGGTGGATTCACTGAGCAGATGGTGGGGGGGGGACGGGTCTCACAGCCTGGGGGACATTTGGGTTCTCCTGAGGGCGCCGGGGAAGGAACTGTCTGTTCCACACCTCTCTCTGAACTTCCGGAGGCTCCCCACGGCCCTTGGTCGGCTGTGATTTCCAGATGCATCTTCATGTGCCTCCCACCCCCATCTGTGTGATCATTTCCCTCTTTCAAAGGGCAACGATGCAGATGGCAGTAGGCCTCACCCTAGTCCCAAACACACTCACAGGGGCAGGGGCTGGGGCGCCACCATCTTTGTTATTTTAAAAGAACACAGGTCTCCATTTCCACAAAGAGACTAAGACAACACGCATCCCACTGCACACACACCTCGCACCTGCCTCCAAACTCCTGCTTAAGCTCACGGCCCTGCTGTGAATGGCCTTCCAGCCCAGCAACATCCGGCTGGCACCCACTCTGTTCTTCCCTCTCTTCAATGCCCTCCTGCATGGCAACACACCTTTGGGGGACAGGGGTGGGGGAGGTGAGGACAGCTAATGCAGTCCCTAACGGCAGCTCAGCCCAGGAAAGGAAGGAGCTCGTGTGTTTAGAGTTCCAGCAGCCCGTGTTCAGTGTCTGCAGGTGCTGCGTCCTGTTCTTCAGCCCCAGCTGCCTTTGAGGAACCAGACAGACACTTTCACTACCCTCAGGGCTCCTCCACACTGTGGAGAACGTGCTGGACGTCCCTCAGAGAGCTGCCAATACCCTATCTGTGCTAAACAAGCGTGTTGTGGGGACACTGTGAACTAGAAAAAGATGACAAAGCCTCTCCGACTCCCATTATGAGATGCGCAGTGGTCTGTCTTCTGCATACTGCCGTCAGCCCCTCAAGGAGCCCCGGTATCTCCGTGGGTTAAACGCTGGGATGCTGGCTGCAAGATTGGCCGTTCAAATCCGCCAGCCGCTTCGGCACAAGAGGAGGAGGCTGTGTTGGCTCCCGTACAGATCTCTAGTCTTGGAAACCCGAGGGAGCAGTTCTATGCTGTCTTCAAAAGCCAAACCAAACGGACTGCCATCGACCGGATTCTGACTCATCGGGACCCTGCAGGGCAGGGTAGAACTGCCCCTGTGGGCTTCCAAGACTCACTCTTCACGGGAGCAGCAAGCCACATAGTCTTTCTCCCGTGGAGCAGCTGGCAGACTTCCATGGCAGACCTGGCGGCTAGCAGCCTGGTGTGTCATCCACTCTGTCTTAGAGGGTTGGGATTCAACTCGATGGCAGAGGGTGTGAGGTTTTTTCACGTCAGTCCTGGGTCACTCCTGTGGGCCGCTGTGCAGGGCTCCAGGGGAGGGCCCAGCTCGCCCCTTATTCGGGTCCGAGATGGATCTACGGTGCACGCTGCTTCGGTCCCACGGAAGGGAGGCAGCTTCCGTTCTTCACTGAGGTGTCCTAGGATTCCTGACTCCACAGGATGGGAGGTAGCTCAGCCAGCCTCGGGTGTGAGGGGGCCGCAAGCTGCTGCAGGGGACTCTTGGGGAGAAGGAAGGCACTGCGTTCTCCGGGGTCCTCACCTTTACTCAAACGCTGGGGGGAACCATTCTTCTAGACTTTTGGAATAAAGACCCTTGGCCCTCCAGTCCCCGGTGGGCTGGCATCACAAAGGCTCACCAAGCAGAGGCCTGGTTGGATGGCTGTGTCCGTGGAGAGATGGAAGGCTCTCCTTTGCATCCCTGCGTTTCTCATCGCGGCCAATGCATCTCTCAATGCGAATCAACGCCACTCTCAGACAAGACCCAGGCCTGCTTGCTTGGGACCGGTCACTTGCAGCTGTCAGGTGCCACTGAGTCAGTTCTGACTCCGATTGGCCTCTGTGTATGACAGAGGGAGCACGCCTGGTGCCGGGTCCTCACAATTGTTATGTCTCAGCCGCTGTTGCAACCACTGTGAACGTGCCACACTAGGAAAACGGAGCAGGGTGTCTGAATAAAGCTCTTCTATCCACGCTTTCGCTGCTCCCACCAAATGGCTCGGTGGCACTATGCAATTAGGGTCTGCGGCACACTTGCGGAGGGATGGTCAATTGGGATCACCATTCCCCCGCATAGACAGAAGCAGCGAATTCCTGGGGCCATCAAGAAGAAGAGCTGTGAATGGAAGACGTTTGAAATATCTGCAGAGGCAGGGCGGAGGCTGAGGCCAGCAGACCCTGAGGCAGAGCAGGGGGCTGGCTTCCTGGTCCACAGAGACAGAGGTCAAGGGTCCACAAGGCTGTGAGGTGGAGGACGAGAGGGGACTTGGCTGCTGTGAACCAATGACTATCTGTTGTCTGATCCCAGCTTGTGATACCCTGTTCGCTTCCCCAATTGACGCCCTTGACCAGGAGTATTGTCTGTGAGCTCTGCGTGGCCACTGCAAGGCGTCCTTAAAGCCAGCGAAAGGTAGCGTCGTGGAGAAAGCGCCGGTGTCGGAGTAGGGCAGAGAGAGCTGGACCGCGGAGACTCATCAGACCTCTGCCTGTGGCAATCCACTTGGGGGCAGCCGTCTGAGGAGGGCAGATAAGGCCCTGATGCCATTTCCTCAGAATGGGCAATGGGGAGAAAAGTACTCGGCTGGTAAAGTAGAGGGACACTCTCAATGTGATGGATGGACGCAGCAGCCACCACAGTGGATGGAAGAAACCTCCTCCACTCCGAAAAAACAAACAAACAAACAAACAAACAAACAAACAAACTCATGAGGACGGATGGCGCGGGACTGGCACCGCTGTGCTCTGTTGTACTCGGCGGAGTCTAGGTGATGCCAGTCTCTTCGGCACGCCCGCACCATCCCATTGTTACTCTCTGCTTCCCAAGGGGATGGGTATTTCCTGGGGATGGTTCTGCCACACCTCGGGGACTTGTGCCCCATGTCTGCCATTACCGGAGCAAGCACCACAATCACAGCGCCTTGCCCACTGTGGGCTTGGCGGGTGCACCTTCTGGACAGAGAAGCGCAATAGTTAAGCACTGGGTTGCTGCCCACAAGGTCAGCCCTTCAAACCCGCCAGTCACTCTGCAGGAAGAAAATGAGGCTGCCTACTTCCATAAAGGTTTACAGCCTGGGAAACTCAGAGGAGCCCTTCTCTCCTCTGTCCTAAAGGGTCGCTATGAGCTGGAACTGACCGGAGGGCAGTGGGTTTTGTGGGTGTGAGGAGGGTGCTCTTGCCATAGGGAGCCTGTGAGGAGCTTGAAGCCTGCTCAGGGCCTGCGCCCTATCTGCTAGGCTATCTCCCTGACTCGGGCTCTGCTGCTGCTCTTGGACGGGCTCCAGCAGCCAGCAAGGAAGCTAACAGAAAAGGCAGAGCAGGGCGGGAGAACTGGCCTGCGTTCCAGCCCCTGCTGCCCCCGCCCACCTCCCCCACAGTCAAGCTTACTTTGTCAGCGGCCGTGAGGCGGGTCCAGGGCTTGTCCGCCCTCCGGTCATAGTCCTGAGCGTCTGCCACCTCCACGTAGTCACTGAAGCGAATGAGGATCTTCCTCTCCCGAAGTTCTTCCACCGTGGGCCTTTGACTGAGCTGCAGGAGGCCGGAGAAGGTTCCATCCGTTACCTCCCTCTGAGCAAACAGGGCCCCAAGCATCCACAGACAGGCCACCTGGCCAGTGAGTGGCAGGGCCCAGTGGGCACCAGGGCACCTGACTCTAGGACCTGGGATCCTTCCTGGCTTCTTAAAGAGAGCTCTTGTACCCTGGAGACACCTCCAGGGCTTTGCAGACAGCCAGCCAGTCTCTTGCTTAACCACACTGGGCGTCTGTCTTTCTGTGTGCGTGCCGGGAGTGTGTTTGTAAGTGTCTGACCTGCTTCGCCCCTCGAGCTACGGGAATTCCACAAAGGGACACGGATGGCTATGTTCATGCCCGTGGGTCTGCAAGTCGGGTCTGCCTCAGGTTGTGCACATACTGGTCATACAGAAGGGGTTGGCAGGCTGGTGCTCAAGGCCCCAGGAGCTTTTTCTAGTGGTCATCGCAAGAAGTGCAAGTGAAAGGTCAGCCCCAGACGCAGGGCTGAGTAGGTAGCACGGCCAAGGGCATGCCAGCTGGACTCCAGGCTGGGCCCCGGCATGGGCCTGTGCTAAGGTGATATCGATGTAACTGTCTCTGGGGGTCGCCTGCCAGCACCGCTCCTTTGGCTTGACAAACACAGGAAGACACTCCTATGATCTCTTCCAGTCACTAGCCTTAAGTTCTTCTGGGCAACAGTTACTCTATCTTTAAGATGTCAATTCCTGAGGGTTTGTGGCTGCTAGCCGCAAGGTCAGCAGTTCAAAACCACCAGTCGCTACATGAGAGAAAGGCAGGGCTTTCGACTCCTGTAAAGAGCTATAGTCTTGGAAACCCATAGGGGCAGATCTACCCTGTTCCATCGGGTTGAGATGAGTCAGCATCGATTTGATAGCAGTGAGGTTGGCTGGTTGGTTGGTTCTCCCATGGCGAGGCTGGAGGTTTTGAACTGCTAAATCTGCAGGGTTGTAGCCCAACACATAACCACTACCCCACCAGGTCACCCCTCTGTGAGCCCTGGGTGGCATAGAATGAAATCATTCTATTAACAGAAGAGGCATTACTACTAAGACCTATAAAACAAACACAAGGGAGTCCAAACCACCCTGTCTGGTTGACGCTCTATTAGGCAGCCGTTGCACACCCTTGGGTGGTGCCGGAATGTGCCCCCTGGCTGCCAACTGGCTTACAAAGCAAACACATTGCGAGGTGACTGGCTGCTGGCTTTCAGCAGGGCCAGGATGTGGGCCCTGAAGCTCCCCCTGCTGCCTGAGGGTAGCAGGGACTGCAAGGGGCTCAGGGGACAAGAGGGCCATCCTGAAGCAGGCTGGCCTTTCCTCGAACAGGGCACTGGACATCAGTGTATGTACCTATCTACCTACCCACATTCTTCTTTCTCGGGCAGGGGCAGAGTTAGTCTCAATCTAGTAGTAAAAAATGACTAGTGTGTTCGTATCCGCATTAGTACACTTTTTGTTTCTCAGAGTACATTATCATTCAACAGAGCTATGTAAGGACGCCCTTAGGCTGAGGGTGAGTAACTGAGATGTAGAAACCCCTCCCACCCTGCCACCTAGTCTCACCCCCATCCTGGCATCTGGTTTCCCTCCCCTCCCCGCCAGGAGAAGAAAGAGGCATCATCTTGCCTTGGCACCCACTAGTCCCCACTGCCTGAGAGCGGGTTCCGACTCACAGAGCGGTAGAGCCGCTCCCTTGGGTTTTGAGATGGTGGCTTTATGGGAAGCCGGCTGCCTCATCTTCCTCCCATGGAGCAGATGATGGGGTTGAAGTGCTGACCTTGTGGTTAGCAGCCCAACGCTTAACTCTCCACACCACCAGGGCTCTGGCTATCCTGCCTTCGAGACTGGGCTAGGTGAGGGTAGCTCACCTGAGCGGAGAAGGGGGTGGAAACCACCTTCCTCCATCACGTCTGGCCAAATTAGGTAGCACGTGGAGTCTTCCCCTGTGAAATCTTACCATCTCACCTAAGAGATAAGCATTAAAGCCCTGGCTGTGCAGTGGTTAGGCGCTGGCTCTGATCCGGAAGGCGGGCAGTTCGAAAACCGCCAGCCACTCTGCAGGAAAAGACAGCGGCTTCGGCTCCCTGGAGGGTCACTGCCTGGTCATCGCACAGGGATGCCTCGTCCCCCACCTGCCCTGTAATGTCACTATGCGACGGCGTCAATTGGAAGGCAGTGCGTTTGGGGCTTTGGTGCCCAGCATTTTTCTACGGTCACCTTTCAGTAAGCAACCTATCAAGTTGTGGCGGCGTTCCGTCCCAGCCACACCACCAGGAGCACCCGGGTTCGGCATTTTTCTGAGCAAATACGAGGCCACCTCCAGCCTCCCCTCCACCCCTTGTCAGTTCCAGGACTCTCTTGGGGTGACCGGCTGACCCAGCTCCCCCAGCCCTTCTCAGTCCTCAGGCTCAGGGGGTTAAAGGAGATGCTCCCCTGGTGCCCCAACACCGGCGGTTTTAAGAATGGTGGAGAGCCAATTAGGTGTCTTGAGAGCCGCTAGCCAAAGCAAAGTAACTCAGTGCTTGTTGGCATCCTAGGACCGTGCAAATAGTCCACACACACTAGGCTGTTACCCAAAAGGCGGGGGTTCTAGTTTACCCAGCGATCTGCTTCTGCAGGCTCAGCCGCTGAAAACGGCCTGGTGCGCCGGTCCACACTGACCACCTGGAACCACTGCGAGCCGGGGTGGACGGACTGGTTTTGTTCCTAATCACCCCAGGGTGACACCACGCATTTCAGACACCTGTTTATCTTACTCCTTTTATCTGGCTTGTCACCGATTGTCCAGGACACTCTCTGGGGGAGAGAACGTGCTGAGAGATACAAATCATCGTCCTCATATTGGGGATGATGGCTCCCAACCGCAGTATTCCCGGGCAGGAAAATCCACTAACAAACCTTACGGAAATGAACTTTCATAAGCCTCTTTACTGTCTCTGAGCTCTGAGCATGTTTCCCCGGAGCTGGCCCCTCGTCAGGTAGGATGGAGGACTGTATCATGTGTGTCACCAAGAATGGAGCTCAACAACCCCGTCCACCTGACTCAGGAGGCCTGCGCACTGAGCAAGGGCCACCCGGTTGGAGGACATCACACTGGCACAATGTACCTCTACCTCAGGGGTCCGGGATATGCAAATGCCAGCTTTCATCCCAGGACCTGCTTCTAGAAGGCTGGCCCTTTCCAACCATCTTCCTGAACGCCGTCAACCCTTAGGGCAAGTACTTCGTCCAGTCCTGTGGGTTGAATTCAGAACAACTGGCTCTCACTGAATAGGTAAGGGGCAGTGCAGGGAGCTTCCTACTTTCCCCAGGCCAAAGCCAATTACCGAGGTGTACCTGGCTGGGTGACTGATGTTGCTCATCGAAAATAAAATGCCCCCGAATTCATTGTTGTTGACGTAGGTGGACGCCACACAATCAAGTGGCGAGAAAGCTGTCACGATGCGCAGGGTGGGAGAGCTACCTGGTCTGACAATGCCGGGGGTGTGGGGGTGTGGGGTGGGGTGGGGGTGCCGGGCATGGAGACCCTCCTCACCTTCCGTGTGAGCCTCCTCTTGATCTCTCTCTTCTCCTCTTGTTCCTCTTGTTCATTCCGAGCTGGAAGAAACAGGGAAGATGCTTTGGATCTGGGCCAACAGCTTTGCCACACAGCTGCATCAAGCCCCTCCCAGATGGAGAAGGGGAAGAGAGCTCGTCCTGTCCCAGTGTCAGCCTCCCTTCTGCCTGAGGGCGCTGCCCTCCCCCTGCCTGAATGGTTTCAAATCTGCAGTGATCTCGTATTGTGTTTTCCTGCTATGTTCTCAGCGGGTTTTAGGTCCCCAGGCAGAAGGCTGGGTAGAGACAAGGAACCACAGGACCAGGGAGAGGTCTTACAAGAGCCAGCAAGCCAGCAAGGATACAAGCATTTGGGGGGAAGGGCTCTCTTCTCTGGCAAGGCCTGGCCTCAGCCCAGCCTGACAGCCACACAGACACGGCTGCGGAGAATGACCTGGTGTCTGGGGCACTGTGGCAACAGAACGGGAAGCCCGCCCCATGAGGTGCCGTGTCTGGCTGCAGCGACAGAGGAAGGCAGAGTGCGGGGTGGTGTCGATGATTAAGTGCCAGGTAGCTAGCCAAGTTTGGTGTTTCGGGTCCACCTACAGGTGCCTCAGAAGCAATGCCTGGTGACCTACTTCCGCGAAACCAGCCACTGAGAACCCCACGGAGCACAGCGTCACTCCCACACGCATGGATGGGATGGGCACCAGTCAGAGCCTACCCAGTGGCCACTGGCTTGGGTTAGAGGCCAGCAGCCCTATGGGGGGAGAGGGAGGGCTGGCCACGCTCACCTGCAGCAAGCCCTGACTCCATTAATTCTTTGAATCTTCCAAGAAGTCCACAGAGCATGTGTGAGGCCACGGCATGGGGGACCACTGCCTGCATCTAGACTTTGAGGGGGATTCTCAGGAGAGGAGTCGCTGGGGCTTACACGCTCTCCACCTAACCCGTGGGTGACTTAACTCCTTGGATTTCTAATCAGCCCGCAGGTTAGAGGGTCTGGGGAAGGGAGCGGAGAAGGGAGGGGCAGAAAATCTGGCCTCATGTCAAAGGTAGGGTTCCTGAATGACCTTGGGGTGCCCGGGGATGGAACCCTAAGGCTTCTGAGAAGCTCTAAGAAGCACTGTCCAGCGGGAAAGGGGACCATGAAAACCAGCTGGCGCCAAAGCAGACACGCATTCCCAGCCTGCTAAGGGGCTGCAGCCTGAGGTCTCTCACGGTGAAACCCCTGGTGTTAAAGGCTACGTGGCAGTAATGTCATTGACGGCCCATTTAGCAGGGGCCCCTGGCTGTCCCAGTCCAGGACTGGTCTTCAAGAGGGAGAAGGTCCTGTGCCTGGCAGGGGTGGGGCTGCCTGGTCAACGCTGCTCCCGGATTCTGAGCAGCAGCAGCAGCAGCAGCACCACTGACAATCTCAGCCCACTTGGGCAGAAGGGGCACCCCTCCCGTTAGAGACGACGGGCGTTCCGCGTGGAACGCAGGCCCCTGATACAGACCCTGGGGGCACAGAGTGGGTGCTGTGACTACCTACGGAGGCAGCATGAGAAACGCCCACCTCCTGTGAGGGACAGAGGGTCCCCAGAGGTCCCCATGCCACCTTCCCACTTGCAGGGTGCCTCCTGCAAGTCCCACCCACCGCCAGAGCTCCGCCCTTTCAAAAGGCAATTTAAAGGAGCCAGCCATTAATACTTAGTATGAATGACTGTATCAGAGAAACCGGGAAGATCTCCGTGGGAATGAGTGTGGCAGACATACGTGGGGACACGGACAGCACGCCCCAGGCATAGCTGCAGAAAGGAGGAGGGTTGGGAGGAAAAGGCTCGGCTGGAGGGTGCGTGCCCAGGAAAGTATTCCACTGGGAAGCCCAGGCACCTATGAGCCAGCCACTTTGGGTTTATAAATGAGGACACAAAACCCCAGGAAGTTAATTGACTAGTCACAAGCTACAGGCTAACTAGTTAACTAGCTAACTACTCAATTTCTCACTAGAACAGTGTCCAGCTCTCCTTTCTCACGAGAACAGGCTGCCTCTGCCCACCCCACCTTCTGCCCCGAGCTGGTCCTTCTCCTAGTTTCTGGCCCCAGCCTCTAGTTGGGGGCCAATTCCAAGTGAAGCAGAGGATGGCACTCTGGGAGGCAGCCTGCACCCCTACGTGGGTTCCTCATTCCTCCGAGGGCAGGGCCACACGCACCTATGGGATCTATACCTTTAGTTCAGCGTGAGTTACGAACCCCGTGTCATGAAATCTCAGGCAGAGCTAACCAGCACAAACCCCATTCGGCAACTGGGGCAAGACCAGGAGGGGCTCGTGAGGTCATTACCAAGGGGGCCTTCATCAGAGTGATCATTGTGTGCTCAAGGGGCCAATGGGCCTCATTGGCTGTGAGCGGAGCCCGGGCTGGCCACAGGCCAGGGTGGGTGGGCGGGCTAGGATCTCCAACCCAGGACTCAGCTCCAGGTCAACCCACCCCCCCTCCCCGACTCCAGCAGCTTTAATGCACACAAAGTAAGCCCAGAACAAACGGTTTGAAGCCATGTCCTTATATCACAAAACCATTCTTGTGTAACAATCGAAAATATATATATTTAAAACCATATTAACATTTCCAACCACATTCGGAAATGTCGATGGCAACAAATGTACAAGCGTGCTAATACAATTGAATGATGGGTGGTTATAAGATTTGTAAGAGCCCCCAACAAAATTATTAATAAAACACAAAGAAACAAAAACCCTAACCCAAACCAAAACCACATGAAAAGAAAGACATATTTAGAAAAAGAAAGTTCCAAGATCTAGGAATTGTTATCTGCATGTGGGTAGGGGTTGAGGGGGTGGGGGTGGAGACATATTAGAAAATGTTTATGAAAAGTCTCTGAAGCGATTCACATGTTAAATTCGGCCAAGTACTTTTAAATCAATTTAAAATCTCAAAATTGATTGATCACGCTATCCTCTTATGGACTGACCAGTACTTTGCAGCTGTTTGGGCAGGAAAAGAAGAGACAGTCAAAGGGGGTGAAGGGACAAAACTTCGATACTCGCCACTTAAGGAGGCCTGGTGGCGCTATGGGTTGGGCTTTGGGCTACTACTAACTATGAGGTCAAAGCTGAGCCTGAAAGCTCTATGGTCTTGGAAACCTTCTATAAAGTCGCAGGGAGTGGGGACCAATGGGCTGCAGCAGGCTTGCTTTAGGAAAGCGTCCATTTGAACCTGTCTCCTCTCTGGGGGCCTCGCCAGCCAGAATCAGAAACGGATGCTGCAGGAAGCTCGGGACTAGCTGGGTGGCACTGGGGCCCCTCTTTCCAAACACTCACCCCTCTGCTGAGATAAACACTATTCTGGGCAACCCAAGGGAGTCCCTCAGATATGTTAAGTTCCTCTCAGGTTAGAAGTTTAGTCAAAGGTCACCCTGCAGCCGTCTCCACAGGGCAGCTGCTCAGATCCCCGCAGGGAACCACAGATCCGAGTTGCATTGTGAGAGGTGCAGGCCCACGTGGGTGCCAGGAGGCGGCAGTGCCTACCTCACCTGTGATTTTAGGATTCCCCGGGCAACTTCTCTCCCTTCCTTTCCTGTCAACAGTGGGAGGTTTACCACGGATCAGGTCTCTTCTGGGCACAGAATGCTTCCCTGACAGCTGACATCACCTGAACACGTCCACATTCTCTTTTGTGTTAACATCGGAAAGCAGTTCAGACAGGTCACAGGCACAACTGCTAACCGAGAGGCTGGAAGTGCAAGCCTCTTCCTAGATGCCTTGCAAGAAAGGCACAGCAGTTTTCTGAAAAGTCAGCCTCAAAGGGGTAGCTCTGAGTTAGTCAACTGAGGGACAACTGGGCTGTTTGTGTTTTAAACACAGAGACTTTAAAGGGCCTGCTTAGGAGACGTGTGTGTGTTTAATATATATAT